ATTTAATGTTTAGTATAGAGCTTAGAAAAAATTCGCAGTGTGCAAATTTTTTTTTTTTCGCTTGAAGATGGAACAGAGCTTAGTACTTTGATTCAATTTAATTCAAATAATTATATTGAAGTTTTCGGCTCTTGTTTTGAAACATGAGAACTCTTATGTAACGTGTTGGAATCATATTTTTAAACAAATAATTTTATATATATATATATATATATATATATATGTGTGTGTGTGTGTGTGTGTGTGTGTGCGTGCGTGCGTGTGTGTGTGTGTATGTGCGTGTGTGTGTGTGTATTTAGGCAGCAATTCCTCTTTTATACATGTTTCATTAAAGACGACAGACAAGGTACTGCGATTAAGCTTTTTATTTAATTTGTCTTTTATTCGAAGAAGTGTTTTTCTTTTCGGGACACAGTGTGTAGAAACTGTCCAAATCTTTTGTAATTCCGAGCACTTTCCTCTATACTTTTAGCCATTATCATGGATGATTTTATTTTTGCTTTTAACTGAATGTGTGTATGTATCTAGAGTTATGGAGATGTTTTATTTTCAGAACACAGTTCAAATGCCCCTAAAAGAACTGTGTTCACGATCAAGCCGAACTTATAAATAACTAGCAGTAGAGCCCGGCGTTGCCCGGCGATGTAACAGTAAGAGACAGATCTAGTATCGACCATCATAAAGACTGAAAAATAAAATTGACAAAGATTATTGTTTAAGGTTGACGGACACGCATGTCTTATTTTTAATTATTTTTTATTTATTTTATAGTTTTATTTATTTTTTTTTACGAATTGGTCAAACCCAAACTCAAAAAAAAACATTGTTTTCAATCGTTATGAGTCTACCGATTGAATAGAATTTTATTATAAACAATTGTCTTGTAAATGGAATTTTTAAAGCATTCTGAATGTAAAAATAAAGAAAAAAGTGTGCAAGACAATAAGAAACACTACCTGCCAAAAACAAAGGTGAAGTTTTGTTGAAATCGGTTGAAAAATGTGGGAAATCTGATCCCATATATAAACGAACACACACACACACACACACACACACACACTGGGTTTTTATAATAAGTATAACTCGATATGAGTTGTCCCCCTTTCATTCTCGCGATGCTTCTTAATCGTATTTTCAAATTGATTTTGTGCAAAAACAATTGTGTTTTTCCAATTTCTGGCGCTGTCAGAACCACCGCAAGGTAATTTTACGTAGTCCTGTGAAGTTTCGTTGAAATCGGTTGAAAAATGTAGGAAATCCGATCCAATATATAAACGAACAGACACGCACACACACACACACACACAGAACCTGGGTTTTATAATAAGTATGGTTACAGTGATCAAATTGGTATATGCTTAGCCAGACGACTTATTTTACACCTATCCGGCTACAGTTCCACCAGAACTCATTTAAATACGCACACAAGCCAAGCAAAATCCTTCCGAAACATACTAGTAAAAAATACAAGCATAATAACCCCATTCACACGTTAAAAAGATTTTTTAAAATGAGAAGGCCAATATTTAATAATATAAACTATGAACACGGACACAATCTGCTGAGGGTTAATTGTCGTTGAACTTTTACAAAAGCAAGCTTAAATATTAATGCAATACTTAAATGCAGAGATCAATTTTTAGATTAAACCATATGTATATATATATATATATATATATATATATATATATATATATATATATATATATAAAAAAGGCTTAAACACTAATATTCCATGGTCATATTAGTGTTTAAGCCTTTTTATTATATCTTTACTCTGTCCTGGACATTGAGTTCTACCTGGATTCTATCCTCTTGGAATTTTTTATTAAAAAAATATACATGCATGTGTATGCACCTATGTATATATATTTATATATTTTGCATATGTATGTGTATATTTACCACTAATATAACTACATATATATATATATATATATATATATATATATATATATATATATATAATGTGCTGAGAGAAAGAAAAGAGATAGAGAAAGGTAGATATAATCTTGCTGTAATAGATTGATACGTAGATATGAGTTTACTGAAATATATATATATATATATTAGCGTAAAAACGCTCTATTATTTAGAGGATAGATGACTCGAACGTTTGGCTTCGGTTCAGAGATGCATATCTTGTGCACAATCTTCAAGTGGTTTATATATATATATATATATATATATATATATATATATATATATATCCGTTGTAATAGTAAAATTGTCCAAATCGTGTAACAGGATGGGATAATTGTCCATCCCACAAAATATTTAGTATTTAAAAAAAAAAAAAGAAACAATAAACTGAGAATCTTTTTTCCAGGTTTTCAGAAAAGACGTTTAGCCATCTTGGCTCCATTTGAAATAATTTAAAAAAACTTTTAAAATCGTTTTGCCTCAGCCCCAAAGATCTTTGGCACAAAGTATTCATCTCTTCAATTATGGTACCAACACTCTGGCTTCTGGCTTCAAAGTCTATTCAAGAACCATGAAGAGAACGGTGAATCGGTTTCAAAAAGAGGGAACAGTAGAGAGGAAACCTGGATCGAGGGGTCACAGCAGCAAGAGCAATCATCATTTCAGCTTAGAGCTAAATACATTCTTATTATTCAAAGTAGAGTCTACTAGTGTTATAAAAACTTCGGTGAATTCCAGTAAGATATCTTTAATCATTTCTAAGATACAACGGTTCAGAACTTAATCTAACAACTTTAAAATTTTAGTGTTATTCGATTTGGTCAATCATTATTTCAGCTCATTTCGTCATGTCAGCAGTAAATTCAACTTTACCAAGCGAACGGTCCTTTGTGGCCGAGCATATAGGCACGTCAGTGTAAATGACGGTTTCGTATAGGATGCAGGTTCTAATCCTTTCAAAGGAGGAATATTTTCTATGAAAATTTCTCGGACATTCAGGCCGGTAAATTTTATTTAATACTGTTTATTATAAATAGAGCATTTACTTAAATACTTGTATCTATAAAAAGATGGTTAAACATAAAAATGTGTATATTTTAGATATATGATTGTATGTGTATATTTACCACTAATATTTTTTTATATATATATATATATGCAGATTTGACACAATATGGGATAGTCGAGAAAAGAGACGTCAACACGAATAAACTTGTTTATGAACGGAATGACATGTCTGATTATATCAAAATAAAGTTGAAAGAAAACCACACATTGTTTTTTTAACTGATACATTAATCTTTTCTTAGAAATGGGAATTTTCTTTGTCTTGTAATTATCTTGATCCTGGTTCTTAAAGAAAATGGTGCAAAATTCTCCCAGGCTTAATAAGAATCCTTTCATTTTTGATTGACAAAGAAAACCAAAGACAAAATGCTTAGAAATAGCGTTTGTAAAATTCTGTTATTCGCATTGAAATGACTTTGAAAATAGGGATGGCCTAGGAAAATATCCCTACGATTACAACTGGTATTATGTAAGCGACTACTGTCTGTCCTTGGCCGGCTGATCGGCGAATAACCCCGACCACTTAAGAGTCTTTTCAGGTGATGATTTTGCCTGGACACCCAGCAAGATTAAAAATACGACCCGTCAAAGGGTAGCTGAACATTTCTGGCCGCGTAATCCTTTTAAATGTGCCGCGAAAGTGTGATTACATTCGAAATCCCTTCAAAACATTTTTTTTTCTAGGATTGGTCTTTAGTCATGCGAATGAGAAAAATTGGTCACCATTTCTAGTGATTGAGGGCTCAAAATAAAATATTCGACGGTAACCATTGATAGATTTTGGATTTCAATACAAAAGGAATATCCCACATTAGCTAAAAAGGCTTTATCAGTTTTATTGCAATTTTCTACTTCTTATTTATGTGAATTAGGCTTCTCAGCCCTAAATAATATCAAAAATAAGAAGCAAGAAAGACTACGCTCAAATGAAGAAGAAATCAGGGTCTGCTTATCGCACATTCGACCAAACATTGAAGAGATCGCGAAAAAAAAAAATAAAAAAAATAAAAAGTAAATAAAATAAAATAAAAAACACAAAGCACAGGTTTCACACTAAATAAGCTTTACAAATAGATTAATAAAAATATTAAAATAATGTAAGTTCATATTTCTTTGTGCATTTAAAAGTTAAATGTGTTGCCTTTAAAAAATGTTGCTAAGTGTGCCGTGATATTTTCATTTGCTCTAATGTGTGTCGTTGTTTAAAAAGGTTGGCAAATATTACTGCAGGGTGTATTAAAATACATTGTAAATCCACATTGGGATTAGATTTTTTAGAATTGTTGTTTTTATTCTCCTCTCTACACAGATAAAAATTGTATATATGGAAACTATTTAGGACTTCATAGAGACACTGAGGTATTATGGTGGCTGTAGTAAGAATGGTAAGTAAGAATGTGTTGTTTTGGTGTAAGGAATATGTTTGGATATATCATACTATTTATTTAATTTAAGTTTAAGATAAGAAAGATTGAAGATCTGCCTTTCACCCCTTTTGGCCTTGTGCCACATTGTTGTATTAAAACAAAATAAATATTGCTTTTATCTTTGTACCCCCCACTGATAACTTGTACATAAGATGACTAGTTAGAACTTCATAGAGACTCTGAGGTATTATGGTGGCTGTAAGAATGGAAAGTAAGAATGTATTGTTTCGGTGTAAGGAATACTGTGGAATGTTTGGGTCAGTAATTGTGGCTAGCTAAGTTTAAGATAAGACAGATTGAAGACCAGCCTTCCCCTATCCCCCCTCTTGGCCTTGTGCCACATTTTTTTATCTTTACAAAATAAATATTACTTTCCTGCAGAGTGTACAGCCATCTATCTCGTTCAAAAGGTTCATGCCTTTCCACATATTTCTTGGCTTTGTGTCAGTTGCTCTTCTTTGCCTTCCTCTTGAAATGGAACCCTCTTCGCTAACAACTGAGCTGAGACGTTTCAATTAATTCACTCCTTTAAGTTCTTAACCGCTGAATTCTAACTTACTCGAAAGTTTATCACTCATTGTTCGTACGATCACCGAAGTTAAGCAACGTCGAGCCTGGTCAGTACCTGGATGGGTGACCGCTTGGGAATACCAGGTGATGTAAGCTTCGATGTGCCGATGGTGTAATAAACGATAATATCACATTGAAATGCCGCTTCTCGTACGATCACCGAAGTTAAGCAATGTTGTACCTGATCAATACCTAGATGGGTGACCGCTGTTGCCTTCCAGTTGGTTTCATTATATACACTTACGCGCAAATACCCTCGAGAACGTTATGAATCCACCTACTTCTCCCCCAGCTATGGGTTAATTAGTAAACTTTGTATAACTAAAAACATTATCATCCCAAAATATGTGTACAAAATATTTAAATTTCGGCATTAAATAACCCATGGAGGTGTTGATATGCCATTAAACAAAATCAACCTTGCAATCGATCTGATTGGTTGTCGTTAGTTGGGTTTTTCGACATTAATCTCCATGCCATATTGGGTCGAGGTTTCAATCAGGTTTTTCTGTTCGCCATAATGGAAGAATGCTGTCTACGTAGGAGATACCTAGAATGGTTGTGTAACATGTAATTTCCAATGCTTGGATTCTACTGTTAATGTCCAAGACTCGCAGGCGTACAGAAAGACGGAGAAGGCCGATGCGCATAACGGCCTGGTCTTTGATTCCAGGTGGAGGTTCTTATCTTTCCAAATGGTCCTTACTTTCATGGCAGTTTTTTCTTAATTCATTCACTCCAAGCAAGGCGATAACTAGGGGCTACTGGGAGTGAAAGAGAATGAGAAGATATCCAAAGGAGCCAGAAACCCAATCCGAAACAGGAAGCGAGGGATAAACCTCTACTCCTGTTAAGAAAAAAAACGGGGAGGAGTATAAACCGGGCGTAAGGCCTATCTATTTACTCCTATTGAAATGCCAATTGTTTGTACTACACTTGAAGTTATCTTTATCCTGGTGCTTTCTTCCTTCATATTAGAGAAAAGCTATTTGAAATGTCTCCCTATTTTAAGTTCCTGACCACCGACTTTTATCTTGCTTAAAATCCATTTCGCAATGTTTATCATGAGTTTTTTTTTTTGTGGGGGGTGAAGGTAGGAGCAATATATTATTTCTCTTCTGTTGATAATTGAGCCGAGATATTTGAATTAATTCCCTCCTTGAAGTTCTTGACCGCCGACTTCTATGTTGGTTGAACGCTCTTTCTAATTGTACATCACGAATTTGCCTTATTCAGCATTAATCTCCATGCGAGGAGTTTTCAACCGGGTTTTTCTGTTCGCCATAATGGAAGCATGCTGTCTTCGTAGAAGACGCCTAGAATGGTTACGTAACATGTAATTTCTCATGCTTGGATTCTACTCTTAATGTCCAAGACTTGCAGGCGTATAGAAAAACGAAGAAGGCCGATGCACACAACAGCCTGGTCTTTGATTCCTGGCAGATGTTCTTGTCTTTCCAAATGGTTATTACTTTCATGACAGTTTTTTCTTAATCAATTCAACCCAAGCAAGACGATAACGCCATTCAGAAACAAAGAGGCTACTGGAAATCAAAGAGAATGAGAAGACATTTAAAGGAACCGGAAAGCCAATCCCAAACAGGAAGCGAAGAATAAACCTTTACTCCTGCTAAGACAAAAAAGCGGGAAGGAGTGTGAACCGGACGAAAGGCGAACCTATTTACTCCTATTGAAATTGTTTGTGCTGCACTTGAAGTTATTTTTATTCTACTGCCTTCTTTGCTGATAAGTGAGCGAATATATTTAAATTGGCTCGTTATTTTAAGTTTCGCAATGTTTACCATGAGTTTTTTGTTTTTGTTTTTGTTTGTTTTTGTTTGGAATTAGGAGGAATATATTATTTCTATTCTGTTGATAACTGAGCCGAGATATTTGAATTAATTCCCTCCTTGGGAAGTTCTTGACTGCCGATTTCTATATTGGTTGAACTCCCTTTGAAATTGTTTATCATGTGTTTGGTTTATTCAGCATTAATCTCCATGCGAGGAGATTTTGTCCAAGTATTTTGTTTCTCCACGAAGGAAGGTTGCTATCTATACCTAGAATGGTTGTGTAACATCTAATTTCTCATTCTTGGATTCTGCTGTTAATGCCCAAGAATCGGATCCAGGCGGATGTTCTTATATTTCTGCTACTGTTTGTTCTGCTCTTGAAATGGCTTCTCTGTATTCTAGAAAACTTTTTTCTTCTGCCTCTTCCAGTGTGCTTGCTTCTTGCCCGATGGAGTCCATTACGTAGAAGATGCCGAGGATTGTTCTGTGATGCCACATTTTTAAAGATTCGGTTCTTCGGTGCGGTTCTGCTGTTAAATGGCCAAGATTTACAGGCGTATACTTCATTGTGGCATTAAGAAATTAAATATTGCTACATTCAAGCAATAAAAAGAAATTGCATCAAAAATATAAAGATTAAAGTCAATAGATGTGCAGGACAGATCTAATGATGGACATTAATCTTATGTTTAACAACCAGATATATGTGGCTTCCCCTGATTGGGTGTGGCCATTGGCTCACTGCACAGCTGAGCACCTGACGGATTCTCTCCATGTATCCCAGTTTCGTGCCAATATCTGAGTCTCTGAATGGACTTCCAGTTCACTCAGTGACATTGTCAACCCATTTTTTCTTTTGTCTACTTTTGCCTAAGGTGGCACTCCATAAGATGGTAGTGTAAAGATTGTTGGCTCTTATGACCTGGCCATGCAATTCAACTTTCTCTTCTTGACAGTGTATACATGGTCTTCCAATAAGCCATAAACTTGTAATATTATAATGAATTTTTTATTCTATTTAATTATGGAATCAAGTTATTTCAGATGGAAATAATTGGGGTTTAAAATTAGAAACTTGTGTACATTTGTGTCCATTCCTAGATAATCTTAGATTATGATTTCCCGTTGCAATTAAGAATGATTCTATGTAATTAAAATACTGTGATAACTTATTTGGTATACGTAAAGTTCCCTCAGTGACATTGTCAACCCATTTTTTCCTTTGTCTACTAAGTGGCACTCCATAAGATGGTAGTGTAAAGATTGTTGGCTCTTATGATCTGGCCATACCATTTCAACTTTCTCTTCTTGACACTGGATACGATGTCTTCCAATAAATCAGAAACATAAGCTCTGGGCATTTCTATTTTTGGCCTGATCTGGCGCTTGTGAAGGTAGAGAATAGCGGGAGAAGTCACTTACTTGCCGGAGCTTTACAAAGAGCTGGCCATTTTTGGTCTGATCTGGCTTTTGCTTTTGTTGATGGTTCTTAGTTTTCTGACTACTGATACGAGAGTCTTTCATAACATCACCCAGAAAGAAGAGCCATAGCTGAACATTTTTGTTAAGACAACACGCTACCACCTCTTATAAAACTAGAAATAAAAAACTAAGCGTCCTGGGTATGACGATAAATTACATCCGGCAGCAAGATCGGGAGGTTTCGAGGAGCAGGAAACCCTCTCTTAATTGCTATGGTTCCCAGGTCCATCCTGACCTGAGGTGGTAGTTATGGACAAAATAGTGGACCCGCAAAATGGGGCCAAAACATTATGAAATTATAAAAATACATTTTTATAGTACAAATATCCGCAATACATTTTTGAAAAAAATTACCAGAAAAACATTTTTTAAAAAAATTACCAGCAATACATTTGACTCTTGACAAAAGGCCTCTATGCAAAAATATATTAATGAAACCTGATCTATAAACTGATTTCTTATAATGACTACACATTCTATTCATCTGAACCAATCCCAAAAGTCTTTTCGGCATTAAAAAACCCATTTATGTTGTTATGCCTTAAAACAAAATAAGCCAAACGAGAATAAAAAAAAAAAAACTAATTCAGATTTCTGTCTTAAATTCTGTGCAGGTGAGGCCCATATAAAGGTGAGAGGTGTGCTACTAATCTAAAAATGGACAAAACAGATGCACAAGAAGTCATAAAGAAAGGTATGACACCTTAGGAAATCTATAAGGACATGTTGAAGACACACCTTGCTATGTGTCCCAGTGGCTTGCCAATATCCGGGTCTCTGTAAATGAGCTTCCAGTTCCTTCAGTGAATTTGTCACTCCATTTTCCCCTGTCTACTTCATTTTTTTTTTTGCCTAAGGTAGCACTCCATAGGATGGCAATGTAAAGATTGTTGGCTCTTATGAAATGACCATACCATTTCAACATTTTCTTCTTGACACTGGATACATGATCTTCCAATAAGCCATAAAATTTTAATATTATAATTTTCTTATTATTATTTGTTATAAATTTTATAAGACTTTTTAAACATAGTCATTTTCTTGTGAAACCATTATATTTTACTTGCAAGTTGATTAGCTTATAATAATAGTTTATTTTAATATCTTTTTTTATCATGTGTTGGACCCCAGATCTAGAAGCATAATGAAAGCACAGAGCTGCTTGTGATCTGAGTTATTTTTTGTTTCCAACAATGACAGGTTAAAAATGATTTCCTTATGAATAATAAATCAATGTCCAGATTTCTTTATTTTGAGGGAAAAATCATAGGTCAACTATTTTAATGCTAAAAATATAGTTAAAAAATGATCATTTTTTAGCATCTGAATGGCATCAATTTGTGATTTTTATTCCTAAATATTTTCTTATATAAAAGAAAAAATCATGAATATAAAAGTGGTTGTATCTTATTTTTTTTTTCTTTTAGCAACTGCGAAAATGTTATAGTGGAACACACCTATTCTATAGTTAATAGACTCTCCGACCTATAATAAGTAGGAGTAGTAATAGTAACGAGTCAGGGGTTCAGTGGGTCGGTCAGTCAGTCGATGCCGGACGACCGTTAGTCGAATACTAAAGTATCAGCGACCACAACTAGATTATTCTGCATCATTGCCTATTATATCAAGTTCCTAACGTTTTGTACGTCGAACCTATTTTAGGACCGACTTAGTACAAATACAAGGCTCCACTGTGAAAACCACTCCACAACAGAAAACTGCTACTTGAGATTATACACAGAATACCCTGCAATGAACATCTAAAAAAATATATTCCTCAAATCCTTCTCTTGATGTTCAAACTTTTAAAGATAACTTT